TCATTTCACTTGCGGACAACATTCCTTTGTGAGTTTCGTGTTCATTTCGAATATATTTAAAGCGTATAGCGACGCAGCTATACTTTAAAAATATTTGAATATATTTAAGTAGTATAGCCATGCGGCTATATTGTTATTTCTCCAACAACCCTTAGGATTTAGGAGGAGAAGCATCCAAAGCTGAATCTCTTGTCTTGTGGCGGTAGCCGGCCCAAACCAAAAGAAAGGGGCAAAATGTCTCTATCTGTCTGTCTCCAGTGTTTCTCTTTAAACGTCAAACAAGAAGAAGCAAAGTCTTAGCCCTCCTCATGCTGTGAGTCTGTGACTGTTGGCTTGGATTCATTGAACTTGTTTGAAATTGAAACCAACCATGACAAGTGAAAGGACATATACACAGAATATAGAGAGTAGAGGGAAGCCTCAGCTGTGCAAATTGCAAGCAAGAAAAGAAGAATGGAATTGGAGAGAAGGTGACCACTTTCCATAAACATATGGGGTCCATGCCATCTTTCTTTGATCTCTTCTCTGCACTCCTAAAACTAATACCAGTTTTTTTATGTCCCCTCTTTGACCAGACAACACACCACGCTGCTGCAGATAGAAAGAATTAAATGGTTCCATTTGTCTCCTTCTATGACTTCTAACTTGTAAGTTGTTTGTTCATGGGATGGGATCAATTACCTCTTACCTCCATCAGCAACAAAAGGGTATCTGCACTGCAGCCTAGCTAGCTTTGCTTTCACTTCCAAGAGCTCTCTATCTTATCATCTCAAAGGGTTCAGTTAAATCTAGCAGAGCCAAAGAGACTACATCAACTAGTTTTAAATGGACCACTGAGAGAAGGCCAAATCTAAGGGGCCAGCTTGCTGGGTTAGGTGTGCTTTAGATCTACTTATTTAAATGACCTATTTTATTGTAAGCCAACGTCTTCAATAAACTAATCATTAGAGGTGTGTTTTTCTGTCAGCAGGGGATCTCTGTCTTCTGATTTCACTTCTGTTTCCATCTTTCTTTCTCTCCTATGTGATAATGACCTTCCCTCAGTGGAGACCCCAACAATACACACCTACGACTCCTTGAAGCAAGCAAATTTTTTTTTTTTAAATGAGATTTTATTTCAGCATTCTTAAACATAGAAATACTGAATAAGGAAGATGGTGCACAATTTGGGTTCAGTTCAGTCCCACCTAACCTCCTTTATTTAATTATTGTTTTATCTCTCTTTTGCCAGTAACTAATTAATTAAAAGGCTAAAACTAGTTGAAGCTGTCTTCCCCTTCATTCCAGAATTGGAATAAACAATTATGTATGCTTCTTTTGACATCACCAAAGCCATAAGTATGATGCATATCTACACTACAAGCCTCCAAAATAAGGAGTACAAAATTTCGACCAAAATTTTCTTTGAATCTGTTGAAGAAGATTTCATTGGCCCGTACTATTACCTCCTCCTCATTATAAAACTCATTCACATAGTCTAAAGTAGTGTCCACCATACAGCGCTATGCCACTTGTACAGTCAAAATATTTAAATATATAAAAAAGTTTTACAATTCAGGGCACCAACTCTTGTTATGGACATGTTGATGAACTTTTCAGGCTCTGGTATTAGTGTATCAAAGCAAGCCTCAGAGCTTCTCCCTCCTTATTACAAACTGAAGCTTGGGAAGGTTTACTATATGATTCCTCTTCTGGGTTCTGTTGCAAGTGATGCGAGCAGTGCAGGTATTATTTCATCTGTGGATGTTACAGAAAAGGATAGGGCTGCTACAACAAGGATTAAACCTGCTCGACCATGAAACATCACCACTTTCTTCCTTTTTGTGCTCTCCCTTTATAACAAGAACATCATCTTCTACAGACACCTTGACATCCTCCTTGGAGAGGCCCGGCATGTCAAACCTCATTTTGATCTCTTGTTCATCATCTTTGATGTCCCAACGCGTACGTACTTTCCCGGATGCTCTGTTTCTGCCTGGCAATGTCACAGTGTCCTCCAGGAGCCTGTCCACTGTGTCCAGCATTTGGCGCATGGTCCTCACTGGGGAGATGGGATCCAATAAACCTGCAAACAAATTAAAACTCATTTTTAAGCAAACAAGTTTGATGGTGCTTTTTAAAGAAACAAAGAAACCACTAAATAAACATTAAGAACCTCCTGTCTAATTTTCCTCTGTTCAAACAAATCAGAATTCAATTAAAGAACAACTTACGAGAGATTGTGACACTTACCAAAAGGTGAAATGTCGACAGCCAACCTCCATGGCCTCCTCTCGACTTCAGTTCCTTGGTTGCCCTGATTGACTTGCACGTCCAGCTGGCCATCTCCACAAGCCTGAGCTCTCACCACGGGCAGCCTATGCCACCGTGAAGGAAGGTGGCTGAGCACGGCGCAGTGACATATGTTTTGATTGAAGACCTAGCTTTGGTTGATAGCAAAGGTGATGAAGAGGACAAAGCCAAAGTTGAAGACGTAGTGATTGCTAAAAGCTAATACAGAAAGAAAATATACGAAATTACAGTGGTTGCCAATTAGAACTTCGGGATTGCTTGGTGAGCCAGGCACTGACCATTATGCAATATATAGGTTAACTTATAGGATTCTGGAAAGGAAGCTTGAAGAAGGGTCTTGAACGTTTGAGACTGAAACTTCTCGACCCAACGACAACTGTAAATTTTACATTTTTCTCATGCCTTCCGGAAAGATACATGTCACCTTTGCTCCTTCGCACCAGCAAGCTTCGTCTGTCTTCATTTGGATATAAAAAGGACACGACCCGCCCTAGCCCAGCCCCCCCAGGTCGGCTAGATCAGCCCAGGCCGCCTAGGGGCCGCCTAGAACCGCCTAGGCCGCCTAGGCGCCGCCTAGATCCGCCCAGGCCGCCTAGGCGCCACCTCACTCCCTGGTGTCGGTGTCCTCCCTCCCCCCTAGAGCCTAGGCCGATTTGCCTCCCAATTCTCACTCTCTAAACAACAAAAACACAGTTTTCTATCTGTTCCTTTCATTTCACACGAAACAAACCCCTCATTTCTTATGCCTTTCCTTATTTTCTGTCACCTTTCCTCCTTCTCACACACTATATACATGTCACCTTTGCTCCTTCGCACCAGCAAGCTTCGTCTGTCTTCATTTGGGAAAAAAAGGACAAGACCCGCCCTGGCGCCCAGCCCCCCAGGCCACCTAGATCCGCTCATGCCTCCTAGGCGCCGCCTAGCCGCCGCCTAGATCTGCCCAGGCCGCCTAGCCGCCGCCTAACTCCCTGGTGTCGGTGTCCTCTCGCCTAGCGCCTAGGCCGATTTTTCGAACCCAGCTCGTAACCTGGAACGGGCGTGCTCAGTGCCCTAGACGTTCGTAGTGACGAGTTTGGGTAAAGCCTCCTGGCTATACTTTTTTCTGAAAAAAAGGAAAAACACGTATAGCCGCGCGGCCATACTATTTTTTAAATAAAATAAGCGAAAACCGAGTATAGCCCCGTGGGAGTACCATTTTTAAAAGGAGTATAGCATAGCCGAGCGGCTATACTATTTTCCAAAAAATATGGACCACCATTCTAACCTTTCTAAGACAATGGATCTACCATATGAACCACCTTTGGCTGCGATTTTTTCTCTTATTGTTCCTTCTTTTTTTGTAAAATTTGGATTTTATAACTATTGTGCACGAATTATAATAATTTGAGAACATTTTTATAAATCATATCAACATGTCATGTGGATATGTACACAAGCAATAAAATAACTTCTCAAGTGAGTCAGCGAATTACTAGAGTATTTTTATGATCACAAATTTATTGATTCAATTTAGCACTCTGGACATAAATTTGTTTTGGTAAGGCTCCATAAACATAATATTTTAAACATACGAATTATAATAATTTGAGAACATTTTGATAAATCATATCAACATGTCATGTGGATATGTACACAACCAATAAAATAACTTCTCAAGTGAGTCAGCGAATTACTAGAGTATTTTTATGATCACAAATTTATTGATTCAATTTAGCACTCTGGACATAAATTTGTTTTGGTAAGGCTCCATAAACATAATATTTTAAACGTATAGCCTCACGGCTATACCCTTGAAATATCATAATCTGAATTTCTCTTTTTTAATTACTTTATTTAGTAGTTATGCTTTAATTATTATTTACTTAGTGAATAATTAGTATTTAAGTATTTTTTAAAGAAAAAAATTTTAAAAACCAATTACTATTTATTAAGTAATATATTTATGAAGTTAATTAAAATATTTAATACTAATTATTCACAAAATAAATAATGATTAAAACATATAATTACTAATGAAATCAATTAAATAAGGCTATGATTTTATTGAATTACTAAAAAGAAAATAAAAATAAAAATTTACTGACCTAAAGATACTAAGTTTATACTTATTATTTAAAAAAACCTCTCCCGACGACATTTTGTCGGCATAGGAAACTTTCCTCGGGAGAGGTCTAATCCGGCAAATAGGTACAATGGAGTCCTTTGCGAATCCTTTGACTTTTTCCATCTCATTGTCAACCATTTTCTAAAAGCGTCATTCAAATATATCACTGAGTGTTTCAATAGAACATAAGATCACATTTCCATCATGGAGAGTACATCATAATAAAGTACATGCCTATCCAAACGGATGAAGTTGCGTACAAAATGAAGTTACCTTGATGCTGTCCTGGAATTGAGGAGAGATGTCTTTATCAAAATTCTCAGAAACTTTGAAATACATTACAAGACTCATCCCCTCTCCATCACTATCACCAAGATACACTGCAGCAGGAGAAGTAGGCAACTGCAACAAGGCGCAGAGCAATATCATTAGATGTTGCCAAAATATAACAAACAAAACATAACAAGATAAATCAATTCTGAAAAAATACCTGTATGTTTACAATGAACACTTTCCCATTTGCTTTCACTTTGGGAAGCTCAAGATGCTGGGCAATGTGATGTATCTTTTTGGGGCATACAAACACATCAACACCTATTGGAGTATATGGATTGTAGTTCGGAGCAGTTGACTTTCGCTATCTCTGGATGGTAGACCAACAGAAAATAATATTTATCATTAGCAAGGCAAAACAGAGTAATTAGTTGCAAATGTTTAAATTCAGTTAAGGTTGGTTTTGACAAAAGAAAAAACCAAAGTCATACTTGAAATAGTTCTCGCCACGGAATTTAAAACTTAAGGTTGCAAATATTTCTCATGCTTTAGGGGTCTCTGAAGGTCTGGTTAACTCACATCCAACCCTTCCTCAGGCCAGATAAATCTACATAAATAAGACAAAAGAAGAGCTTCGCTTGGAGGACAAAGGAAAAAAAACAATACAAGATAAACAATAAAGGAAAGAAGCATGGACTAACAACATTCAAGGGTGCTCAGCATCCCCGATTAACATCTCTAACTAATCAACTGATATGCTGGCTATAGAATGTAATAATATAAACAAGGCTGAATGCCCAATTCGCACTAGCACTTGTCTTTTATTCTAGGCAAGTACTACTACTAAGAAGTCAAAATTGTAACTACTAAGAAGAATACCTGCACGACCATTTGCAGAGGATGCATGCAAGTAATTGAGCTTGAAATCCACCCACTATTAGCACATATATCTATCATGGCCTGGATGATTCGCATACTTTGATCCAATATTGACTTCCAAGTCTGTGACGTAATCACTGATTGGTAATTCTAACTACGAGAAATGTGCCTGAATGCAGAATTCATGCATGGTAAGAGAATAAAACGATGAGAGAATTAAAAAGGAAAATGACATGAAGTTTTTATTCGAAAAACATATAGTTGAAGACAACTCTGACCTGAAATAGCATATTGGCTTTGACATGTGGATCATCTAAGCGGTCTTTATCCACTTTATATCAAACTCAGGTTCAGTATTGTCCAAGCCATAGGAAGCTGGATTAAATATTTGTAGAAAACTATGCTCATGTATGATTTTGTACTACGGACACAAAATAATAAAAACTAAAGGCTTTTAACTTGTGTCTTCACCACATTTAAGTACAAGAGGATCATTGTCACAACAGCAATGCAAATGATAGGCGTTCTGAACTTTAACAGCAAAAAAAAAGATAGGTGTAGTGTATTGAAAAAATAAAAGGGAAAATGTTTTATTGATTAGATATAGGACTGCAAGACTTCATCCATTGAATTTATTAGATTTTCTGATATTCAAAACCCCAAACAACTTGATTCCTAGTATTAATATTTGAGGCAAATATTCAGAAAGTAATATGATTTGTGTTTATTGATTGTTAGGCGGGCGGATTGTGATGGACATCTATCCCTGGCTAGCCTAGCCTAATATTATACCTTGCCGTATATGTTTTGCATGACAGGGCTCTACTGCATGATCAGACAGGCTGCAAATTTCATTAAGCCAAAGCAATCGTAGGGCAACTCTTCTTTGGCAGGTCAATGAAAGTGATTGTACATTTGTAGCTGCATCAGTCACCAGTGCCTGCCAAGAAAGAGGAGCCCTATGACTGCTTTGCTTATTTGACAAGTATACTCAACCAAACTCCGCTATGCCACTAATTGAGCTCTTAGCACCTGCATCTCATGAGATTTCACAATGAGGCGATGCCCCACACTTGCGGCATATGCTGCACTTTGCATGCTCAGTGCCATGGCATCACTCACCACCCGATTATCATCTCTCGTCCCCAGCACGCACACATCCTTGAGAGTCACCAAACTCCTTGCAACTCCAATGGCAACATCGTTATCAAGGAGTAATGAGTCGTTTACAGTCACTGGTCCTTGTGAGGAAGCAAAGTAGGGCATCCACATTGGTTATAAGGGACTGAGAAAGAAGGGCTAACAGCATATCCTAATCTTATTCGTCTGCTTTTCTTTTTTGCCTACGTCTATATATTAGTAATCTCTGTCTTGAATACAAAAGAGTCTCACTTTTATAGTGAGCCATCATTATATAGGATCTCCAAATTAGTTTTGTTTATACCAGCACTAACAGCCAATAAGAGCAAGACACGTGGACAAAATAGGGCACCAACAGGGTAGCCTTCGGCACCATGCCTGCCGATTCCACGGTTAGGGCAAATTCCCCCTCTAGGACACGTGGAGCACTCACAGCAAAGTCTACAGTCCCACATCGAAATTCTAAACAACATGCGCACCTCCCAAGGCCTAGAAGGAGGGGCCCAAGTCCCAAAATAGAGGTAATCAAAACTCACGGCATACTGCCTATTGCTCTGACAATTTCATTTACTGAATTTGTACTTACTTAAGCATCGAAGAGCCTTCGGCCGGTACTACACTGGTGCCCTAGGTCTTACCGAGCGTTTCATGTCTTACATGTTATTAGCACTACCGAGGCCCAAAACATTCCGAAGAGCCAATATCACTAAGTTAATCTGCTGCACGTTCAGTCCTTCTGTGGGTATCTCTTTCTAACCATGCCATGATTGTGCGCAATGCCTCATTCGTCAATTTGGTAATCATTTTTCAAATCTTTCTTTTGCGAACGATGTACAAAAAAATCATGACAAGTAAAGAAAATTAAGGCCTACCTGAAGGACTTCATGAAGTTAGAGCAGCCCATGTGATTAAAAGTTCTGAAAGTGCTTGCAGTTGTGTTGTGTCATCCTCACCTCCTTATTAGTTTCCTTCCTAATTACGCTCTTAACAAAATAAACAAAAACTAACTAATTATATTTAGAGCTAATTTAGTTTTAATAGTAAGGCATATATTTAATCACAGGAAGGGTAATCTAGTCAAGCTGAGTACAGAAAGTTTTGCTTGAACCATACCAGATCTGATCAATTCAACACCAAATGTGATGATAGGTAAATAAACATGACATCAACTATATAGATTTTACAATTTTAGGTTCCAATCTCTACAATATTAATCAAATGTCTCAGAGACATATATTCCAGTAATCACTAATTGACTTTATGTTTGGGAAACATAAGTGACCAGATCAATTTTTCTTTTTTGATCCATGGACTATTCTGTTGTCATGCAGAATCCTTTGCCCCGTGTATCTGCACCACATGCCTTGGCATGGCCTGAAGGTCTACCAAGCTCAACCACACTCTTGAAGGGCCTCACTTTTGTGTCTGATACATTCTATGACTATAAAAACTTGTGGCATGGGCTAACTGCAATGTCTTTTGTGGGTTGGTCTATGAAAAATGGATGCTCAAAGTCATCAAGGTTGGTACTTTTCTATTGGGGAGAGCTCAGAGACCAAAGGGGATTGTGGATTCAGAATGTCATGCAAGCAAGTTTTGGGCAGGTGCCAGTTGAAGTATTTGAAAAAGGAGATGATGGGCCTTATTGTTTTGAGAAGGCAGTTGTGATGAGGCACAATGTTGGGGAAATGGGGAAGCAGAGGAATCTTCAGGTCTCTGACTTGTTGAGATGTAAAGCAAGAGAATTTTGTGGCATAAACCCTGCAGGTAGGGGGAAGGAGGTGAATGTGAGAGGGCAGCCAAGTATAAGGTTGACATTGCTGATGAGGAGAGGTTCAAGATCATTCAAGGATCCAACTGCTGGGATTAATGTATTCTCAAGGCAGTGTGCAATGGTGGATGGGTACATGTTAGAGGTGGTTCAGTCTGAAGATCTGAATTTCTGTGATCAGGTTTGCTCTCTCTCTCTCTTTTCCTTTAATTAATTCATGTTTCACCTTCCCATTTGATCAAGAGAAAGTTCCTAGTATTAGACATGTTGTCTTGACCAAAGAAAAAAAAGACGCTTGCAGGTGAGTTCACATGAGCTAGATGAGAGCTATTTCAAGCAATTTTAGCATTAATAACTTAGGTTTGACTTAAAACTGTATACAACTGGATCGGTTGTAGTCAAGAATTACGCGTTATAGAGTTTAGAGCACTGTGCATTAAAACTGTTCCCTTAGTAATGCATGATTTCTACTTGGTGTTCTTAAAACAGGTTAAGCTAATGACCAACACAGACATCCTTCCATCCCCACATGGAGCACAGCTAACAAACATGCTCTTCATGGATAGAAACAGTAGCATAATGGAGTTTTTCCCCAAAGGATGGTTGAAGCTTGCTAGGGTCGGCCAGAATGTTTATCACTGGATGGCAGACCAATCCAGCATGAAGCACAGATGTGCACAGTGGGACCCCCACACCGAAAAGGAATGCCCAGACCCTACAAAACAACTAGAATGCTTTCTCCTTTACAAAGACGGCCAGCTTGGCCACAATGAAACCTACTTTGCAGAGTGGGCAAGAACAGTCCTCAAACAAGTAAGAACATGCAAGCAAGAACAAACTATCCAAAGTTCTCAGAGATATTCAAATGTTAGCCTGTGCTAACTAGCTAAACCAGTCATTCATTTACAAACTTTGTAAGCATATATGTGTGTGTGTGTGTGTGTGTGTGTAACAAGCATTTGACGAATAGAATTGCATCATTTCATTCTCGGCGTAAAAATTGAAAATAGTATAGAAAAATCAAGATCATAAAGATCTCACATCCGACAAAAAAATTGGAAGACTCATGCTGCTGAAAAGATTTGTGGGGATTTTTCACAATGACATAAAGTTTCTTTCTTACATAGATCAATTCTTCAACTAGTTTTGAGATGCTTGAGGATGTTCAACTAGTTTTCTAATAGGAGGATGAGGATGGCTTTACAATGAAACTAGTATTTGTGTACCCCAGAACCCTGTTTTAGCCTTGAACAAAAGAGTTTAGAAGGCATGAAGTACCTTTGAAATCTTCATCTAAACATTTTGGACCAAAGGTATACCATAAAGAAACAAATTAGCGCAAAAACCACTACATGGACAACATGGTTAGCTCCACTCTGGACGATGCTCTTGTTCAATCTCCTGACATTGTTCTTCAACCCTGCTTGACCTTTCATGAGCGTCATATGCTGTAATGAACCAGACACATATAATGGTTTCAGAAAGCTGTACCATCTCCACACACACACGTACACAAATAAAGTCAAACCGATGGAGACCTTTAATCCATCAATTTTAACAAAAATTGTTGAATGTAGAATGTAAAGTAATCGATTTCATCCTTCCAAGGCAGTTCAAAATAAAGTGAATTATGCAAGTAGCAATGTCTAGAGTTGATGGTATACCAGTTGATTGAGAAATTCATTCTGGAATTTTGCTTCCGCCTCTATATCTTGCGCTACCTGCCTCAGAATAAGAGAACAAGATTAAAAGCTATCTATAACTTGGTTGTAATCAAATTTCTGAAATAAACAATTTTGCAAGGCAAAATATGAAATTCCAAGAAAACTCATACAGTCCTAATAGACAAGATAGTAAAAGCCTGAGTCTGCAGACAGGCATCAGCGACTATCTCCATTATATATCCATAACCAAGCAAAGAAATACAACGCAAGCACATATCCACCAAAACCAACATTTACAAGCAAACCAATAAAGACAAAATAGAACTGTACACCGAATAAATAAACTTCTAGAGAAATTTTGAGAGAAAGCACAAATATAATATATATAACTAAAACATTAGGATAGATTCCATATTCAGAAGAGTAATGCATGGCAATGAAGGGTAAAGGAAATATGTAACAAGTAGAAATGTAGTAATTAACCATGGATTTACTAGCTAGTAACATTATCACATTTAGCAAGCATCAATATACAACAGGTGCAATGCAAGTGAGTAATTAAGACTGAGAATTCAAACGAGAAACATATGGCTCACTTAAAGCATTACATCCTACAGCTAATAGAAACAAAAAAGTTAAAGTGAAGCGTCCAATCTTTAAAAAGGTCAAGTATAATTCATTTTTATTTGGACCTGTCTAAACCATCAAGCAATATGCATACACTGAGAACAATGTAACAGAACTGCCAATATATAACAATTATGGGACCAAAATACATACATACAAAGAAATAAAATACTATTTCCAATTTGTACAAACATAAATTCAGTTACCTAAATAAAACACACAAAGAAAAAATAAAAAAGAAGATAAAAGATAAATGGAGTGCATACATTTCTCAATCTTCTCACTTGGGATCGGAGACCAGTGATCTCATCATCCAAATCGGCATGCATTGGATCAATCCTCAATTGGATTTCATCAGAGCTAGCTGCTGGTCTTGTGCTAAGACCCTCCCTGAAGAACCATCATTCATTTATCAACATCAAACAAAATCAAACAAAATAGAAACATTGCATAGTGTAAAAAATACCTTGATCTGTATGGAGCAGCATTGCCATAGGGTGCCATTAGAGAGACAAGAGTTTGTGTTTGGTGAGCTGGCCTGACTCGGCTTCTATGAACAATCGTCTTTTAGTTCAAATTGAATTGGTGATGATGTTGTCTTGATGATTGCCCACCGTTAGTTTTTGAATCTCGAATATCTGACCATGCATGGACTTCTGTTATAAACCATAATTTGAAGGAGATGGACTACCACAAAACATAAGTAAATTTTATATGTACTTAAGAGATGTAGAATAAGCCAGAAATATAAAATATTCACAAAGAATTTATCTGAGGATATCTTGCACAATGCAGCTTCAACCACAAAACTAGTACCCAAGTTTGAAGAAACAATAAAATAAATTCAAGAACCACTCAATGGGGAAGATAATACTCTACTAGAGCACACTCCTTCAACACAAAATTCACATTGTACATCAGTACATCACAAGGCCCTGGTCGGCAGACTCCGGCTCGAGGTTGCTGAACAGACTCATTCTACATGCCATCATTAGGATTTAGGCCCTAAAGAGAATACCAATTTAAATTGCTTCCCTGCCTGTTAAACCCAATTTGGAAGACAAAAACCCAATTGGAAAGACAAAAACCCAATTGGATGACTGAAAACATATGATCTCCATCCGAAACCCTTATTCCAATTTATTAGCCAAAAGAATTAGGGCTCTGTTTCAATTGCACGTCCCTCAAATCTCTTGATGCAAACCAAACAAAAGGATTCTAACGAATTCCAACATATATAATAATTCTGATAATCAATCACGGAGGAATTTCGAATTCTGAAACTGGTAAATCAAATCTGATCAAGAAAGAAAAGCATATGATTTGAAAAGAAATAAAAAGAGAAAAGATGTCAATGGCAAAACCTTCGTCGTCGATGAACAACACAGGGGATTCGAACGGTGACAACAGATAGGCCCCTGACAAAAGTTAGAGAGAAGTAGCAGAAATGGAAACCTCACGCGTAAGACGAAGGAGGATAGAAGCTGTTATTTTGAGGAAAGAGTAGAAATTCAAGCTATTTCGTTAAAATGAAACAAAACGAAATTCTATTTTTTTCTACAATTTTGGACAACATTGTTTTACCTAAATTACCGAAGTGGCCAGTATAGTTTTCTACGCTTTTCATTAAGGTCCGTATATTTTCCATTTTAACACTAGTTATCTTTTATTTAATTTTTTTCTGTACAAGTGATATTGGAAGAGGTGATAATCGAATCTAGGATCTCGGATGCAAAATAAATGTTCCTAACCAATTGAACTATAAGCTACTTTACTAGATATCTTTTGTCTTAAGACATGTCTTTTTCTTTTTTTCAATCGGGTGTAGACTTACAATTTGTTTTCTTCTTTTTTTTGCAATTATATTCTTTTAGCATGCATTTGAATAGAAAAACCCTTTAACCTCACACATTTTTCCATATATTGTTTTTGTAAATTCAAGCTTGTGTAAGCATCCGAGTAATATAATCATCAATTTTAAAGCCTATGGGTTTAGCTAAATGGTGAGGTTAGGTGCCGTGGCAAAGGCACATTGGGACTAGTGTAGTTCCAGGGCCATACTCAGTTATAAAAAATGAATGTAGTATGCTATATAACCTATATTAATTAATATATTACTTTAGCACACGGGACCCTACCCAGCCAAACTTACCTTTCCTCCAGTCTAGCCCGGCCCGGCCTATTGACGAGCCCTACTCCAATCCTATGCCTCCATTTGCAAACCCGTTTCCAAAAGTTTTAATAAAACTATTATTATTATTATATTACTGTTTTATACAAATCGCTAGCTAAAATCAAAGAGATTTTAATCCCTTTTTCTATTTTATTGGCACATATAGGGAGCAGACTTTTCAGTGTTAGTGAGTTTTCTCTCAAACTCAATATTATGTTATCAATTTTTAATTAGTTAATTCATTTATTATTATTATTTTTTAATCTTTCTCTTATTTTTTGTTATTGTTTTCTCTCTACCTATGATGTTTTTTAGTTTGTGAAAATTTTATTTTTTTCTTTCTATTGATTTTAATGGATTTAACAACTTGAGAATTACATTTGGGACGTAAGCTCTAACAATGAATTTACATAATTGAAACGGATTACTTATCTTGCACAAAAGATGGTTGAGACAAAAAAAGATTAGATACACCATTTAGTACACTTGCTTATGACACTAGCACTAATCCTACATGTTGCGACTGCAAGTGTAGAGAGTATTTTTTATTATGAATATTATGAAAAATTGATTGGTTGCATATATTGAGAAGAGACGTTTTTAACAGTATAGATGACTTGGTTGGCCCGCAATGATTTCAAAGCATGAAAACTCGTTGAGGATAATTTATGATTGTAATGAATAAACACTATGATTTTTGATGTTTTGTTATGTCTTGAATTCAAATTTTTTATTGTTTATATTTTGTGAGAGGCCCTCACGCATATGAAATTCTGGTTTCACCACTGATTAGGTAGATAAATATATTAGAATCATGGTTCACTAAATAGTTAAATTTGCTTCCTTTTTTAGAAAAGAACAAAAATACTTTGGATTCTGAAAGAGATTTTCCTTTCATAGTGAATAACGCAAAACTTGGCACCACCCCAAGTGGAGATTAACATTGTCCGTAAATAAAATAAAAATATAAAAAAATTGAATATAAATTTAAGAGACAACGTGGTGGAAGAGAACGCGGGTCAAAACTTGCGTTCTCCTTCCATTTTCATCCACCGTTGGTTTCTTTCTCTCGTGTGACATGATGTCACACCACACATCATCTACCGTCGATTCTAAAACGCACGCCCCTTCATCTACCATCCATATCTACCACCCCTTCACGCACACGGTACACGCGGCTCTATTAAATCAGATGATGATATCTCAATTTCGTTGGTCCGCTGCTGCCGTTCACATTGAACGAGGCAGATTCCCACACGACGTCGTTCCAGTCAACAATAATTGCCTCAAACCTTCGCCATTTAAATTCAGCTACCCCACTCAAAATCCACGCACATTTCATTCCTCCAATACTAGCGGAACTGACAAGAGGAAGAAGAAGAAGAAAAAAAAACTCATCGAACCATTGGCATATTCTTCTTATTATTATTATTACAGAAAAACCCCAGAAAAATTAAGAAATTACATGGGTAGCCAGGGAAGCGAAGAAGTAGGGTCGTTTGTGAAGAAACCCAGATTTCTCTGCCTCCATGGATTCAGAACCAGTGGAGAAATCATGAAGAAACAAGTGGGTAAGTGGCCTGAATCTGTGCTGCAGAAGCTCGACCTTGTTTATCTTGATGGGCCTTTTCCGGCCCTAGGTAAATCTGACGTTGAGGGCATTTTTGATCCTCCTTATTATGAGTGGTTCCAATTCAACAAGGTAAAAGAAAAGAAAAAAGAATTTCCCAGATTCATCCTTCCCATTCTGATTTGCTGTTTTTTGTTTTTCTGTAAAAGGGTAAGTTTTGAATAAATTTTTTTTTTACGCAGGAATTTTCTGAGTACACAAACTTTGACAAGTGTTTGGAATACATAGAAGATTACATTATAAAGCAGGGACCATTTGATGGGCTAGTTGGTTTTTCCCAGGTATTTATCTTACCACTTTTAAAATCCTTTAATGGTTTTTTTTTTTTTTCATCATCAATCGAGAGCAGAAATTCGGACTTGTGACCTCTTTTAATATTCGGATTTAATTTTAGCAATATGTTTACATTTTTCATTTCTATTAAATGCAATTTGGAAATGAGATATTGAAAATCACAAGATGATGGTATTGCATTTCTAAAGAAAGAAATTGTGTCCAAATCAAAAGCCCTATAAACGCCGTCCCTTTTTAACTCTTTTGATCACTAATTGGGTGGAAATGAATAAATGCAGGGTGCAATATTGTCGGCTGCGCTGCCGGGGCTACAAGCGAAGGTATACACCAGAAGCTATAAAATTGAAATGCAGGGATTTTGACAATAATATATTGATTTGTGGGGACTGTTGTTTTGTTTTGGCATATATTTTTATTGTAAATTTATAATAAAATTTTGATTTGTTTTGCGTTACTCTTTTTGCCTTGCTTGTAGGGGTTGGCATTGACTAAAGTGCCTAAAATTAAATTCCTCATCATAATTGGAGGGGCCAAATTCAAGTCCCCAGCAGTAGCTGACGATGCCTATGCTTCTCCCATTCAATGCCCGTCCCTTCACTTTTTAGGTAATTTCTGTTTTTTTTATTTGGTCAAATTTCCAAATGCACAAAGAAAATGGGATTCTACATTGATGACGTATTTCAATCAACGATTCAGAGTGGTTTATGTATGTGAACGGTTCGTCAGTTTGTTAGGTTTCTTCATTGCAGGACTACTTTATTTAATGTTGTCTACGCACGTGTGAACTCTGTTTTGTTCCTGAATTTTATATCACAAGATCCATTTCAATCAACGGTTCATAATCATTCAATTTGGTTAGTGATTATTTATCAAAGTGTGTTATGTGTTTGCAGGAGAGACGGACTTCTTGAAGCCATATGGACTTGAGCTATTGGAACACTGTGTAGAACCTACAATCATTCATCATCCCAAGGGTCATACAGTCCCTAGGCTTGATGAAAAGAGTTTAGAGACCATGATGAGCTTCATTGACAAGATTCAAAAGGCATTGACTGAGAAAGACCAACAGTAACAATAATGCAGTAATGCAGCATTTGAAGATTCATTCTGGCCATGCCCCTTAAATCTTTTTTTTTTCCTTCAATACGTTGGTGCCATTTAAAACTACATTTACTTCCCATGTTGTGTCAAATTTAATTTCATTAGAACAATATATAGAGTTTTTCTGGAATTATATTTGGATACTCCTCAGTTAGGATCTTCCCATCCTCATGCATTGTGAATCATCGACGCCGTATGCACTTTAGGGTTGAGTCTGCAACTCTATTGTGCATTTCCGCTCAGCTAAAGACCCAAAAATGAGAACTCAGACACCAAACATATCTTAAGTTAAGACATATGCAACCGCTTAAAGTATATGACAACTTAAAGACAACCAATTGTACCAGACGTTAACTCTGATTCTAGTAAAATCTGATACATCATGGTGTTAATTTTTGGAACCACACGCCAATATCCCGCTTGATCACAAGTTAGAGTTAGAGAGATAATGGGATTGATGAGGGAGTAAACCAATGTGAACTTGTGGGAAAAAAGAGTTCTCCATATAAAAAGAAATGGGCATTGATCCCACCAAATGGGTTTCGCCTTCTATGTTGGAAAATATTTTGGTTGGATCTGATCAAACATAATCCTGCAGTCAGATGAATGTGGTGTTCATAGGTTATAATTTTTGAGTCATTTGGTCAGCGGATTTAGCTGGTAAATGTGGTGCTTCTTTGAAGGAACCCATCATTCATCTCTCCACCAATGTGATATGTATACTAATTTTCAAATTTCCCTCGACATCACTGGTGTAAAGTTAGGAGTGACAATTTTTGTCAACGGGATTGTGTTTGCGTTTGATAGTAGTCAATATTAATTAAATTCATTTTATTTGTGCTAAATGACTCATTACTAAACTATTCCGTATATAATAGTATCATGTTCACGTTGACTCACATATATTGTAAAATGAAAGCTACTTAAGTATGATACTTGCAAAACTATAAGGAAAAGCCTATAATCATACCATTACTCATACACATGAGAAAATAAATAATTCTATTCACCTAATACTAGTTTAAAGTGCTTATCTTGTCAAAATCAAAATTTTTGTGTTCGATATTAACCTGATCCGTCTATTATTCATATTAACATGTGTTAAATTGAAAATCTTACTAATTTTGTGTCGAATTTGAATCGTGTCGTGTCAAAAGTTGTCACATGAAACATGTGGTTGAGTTTTGCAATGGCTTACACATGTGATAATTGCTAATTACACATCAACAATAAAAAAATATCACATTATTAAAAGAAAATAATTAAAAAAAAAGGTGGTTTCTTTTGAATGACTAGACACTTAACGGCAAGCCACAATAACTTTGCCTAGTCTATGTACAAGTTGTGGTCGGTCGTTTGGAGCTTAACACTAAAAGGCAACGTCACTGTACCAAAGCCAGAAACTTAAGAAACCAAAAGGAACACTTGGCCATCACAAATTCACAATTCACAATTCACTATCAGAAAGAAGTGGAAGAAGAAGCGATGCAAAAGAAGCAAACGCTGCTGCTCGACCAATGTGGCCATTGGCACGCAGGAGCAGAAAAATGACACGTCTCCTCTTCTTGAACCAATCACTCTCTTCCAATCCCAAACCCATTTCTCATTCTCACACTTACTACAATTACAGCGTCTCTCGCTCTTTCCACAACTCTATCTCCAATCTCTCCTTGGTAAGCTACTAAGCCTCTCTCAATAAAAAGCTATTCTAACCTTAACCAGCAATTCAATGAATTCATATCGTATGTTCACCTTCTAGGCTTTTCTTCATCCAATTCGAAGCCCTGCAATTCGTGCTTTTTGTTCAAAACCCAGTAGCGCGGTGGGAGTTGGGTCACCACCCAGCATGACTGAGGAGATATCGTACCTGACGCAGCGTGAAGCTGCTGAGATTGATGAGATTCTCATGGGTCCTCTCGGCTTCAGTGTCGACCAGTTAATGGTCAGTCTCTTTTTTGGTTTTTTAAGCAACTTTTTATCCTGGGTTCGGTTAATAGTTAATTATTTCACAATCCTAATCATGGGTTCGCATAAAGTTTCGTTTTTATTGACTTTGCAGGAATTGGCTGGTTTGAGCGTGGCCACTTCCATAGCAGAGGTAATGCTTTTCTGTTCTCTTCTCTCTGTCAATTGAGATTAATTGAATATGAGCTCATTGTCTTTGCAGTTTGTTATGCTATTGTTTCCTTGATTTTGCACTTTTTGATTGGTCCTGTTCTTGATGATGATCATGCACATTCAAGAATTCAAATTGTAATCTTTAATTTGCTAATAGAAGATATGTTATAACGTTTCCCTCTCATTATGACTGAATGGTGTGATATTTCTAGCATTCTGTTGAGATGCAATGAGATTATTTCATCTAAGTATTCTGCAATACGCCACTACCTACTGCAATGTTCATTTAGTGGGAGTGAGGAACTTCATTCATGTTATATGACGCTTTATTTTTGTTGCTTGATTTATTCGACAGGTCTATAAACCGAGCGAGTATAATCGTGTCCTTGCGATTTGTGGCCCTGGAAACAATGGTGGTGATGGTCTTGTGGCTGCTCGTCACCTGCATCACTTTGGATATAAACCATCTGTTTGTTATCCAAAGCGTACTGCTAAGCCTCTTTATACTGGTCTGGTTACTCAAGTATGGAATAGAACTCAAAGTTGAAAACTCTTTGAATGTGGGGTTATATTATACATATATATGGGGGCTGTTGGATTTTCCGTGGAGGCTTGTTTTAGAAGATATTCTTATTTGATGGAGTAATTTTGCAGCTGGAATCCCTGTCAGTCCCATTCATCTCAGTGGAAGATCTACCTTTGGACTTGTCAAAGGACTTTGATATTATTGTAGATGCAATGTTTGGTTTCTCATTCCATGGTAATTACTAAATTTTTGTTTTGGGAAAATTATTTTTTTCTCTATGTAGTCACCATGCCAATACAATTCTTTTTTTTTTTTTTTTTTCTGACACAACCACTCTGATTCTCGTTCGATTATTGTCTTGTGTGTAAAAGAGCTGTCGTGATAAATAGGAAATACTTTACATTTATCTAAAAACTCTGTGAACATATGAATAGTGGATGCCTGAAATTGCCAGGCAATCTCTCAAAATAATGTCTGGGTTGTTATTTCTCCCTGGTGCTGATTTTACTTGTTCTACAGCTTGATGACATCTCAATTTTTTCCCTTTTGGATCATATATTGGAATTCAACTTAGGTAATTCTCAGTGCATTCATATTGGACCTAGTAAATTCCCACATATTCAGTTCATTCATGTTTAAATTGAGATGTTGCTATACACTAACTTTTTAAGAATTCACTGCAGAAGATAGTTCTGGTGTTTTCATAGGATTAACTTTGACATGCTCAATTTTCTTAGATAAGCCATTGTCCTTTGAAAAACTCTCAATTCGGATTTATGGGTCTATTCTCTTTTTGTTCATGTAGACCCTGACATCTGACCACTTGATAAGTCTCATCCAGATTATAAATTCTTCACTCTTGATGATTGTGGTATTTATTTAACTGCCTACATGGTATATCTAACTGCATTCATTTGTAATGCTTCAGGTTCCCCAAGGCCCCCTTTTGATAATCTGATCCAAAAGCTTGTTTGTATAAATAACTATAATCAAACACACCAAAAGTCTTCCGCTATTGTCTCCATAGATATTCCATCTGGGTGGCATGTTGAAGGGGATGGTGGTGCTGAAGGCATCAAACCTGACATGTTGGTATGTTCTTGAGGAACACCTCAATTGGTCTTTCCTACACATCATTGCACTTTTGATTTTTGTTTAGAAAATTTGACGTGTATTTACATGTATATCTATATTGTTTTATTTATAATGAACAATCTTGTTGATGAAAACTTGCTACTTTCCAGGTTTCTCTGACTGCTCCGAAGTTGTGTGCAAAGAAATTTTTTGGTCCACACCATTTTCTGGGTGGTAGATTTGTCCCACCATCTATTGCTGATAAATATAAGCTTCGTCTTCCACCATATCCTGGAACTTCTATGTGTGTCCGAATTGGAAGGCCAGCACAAGTTGATATATCGGCTCTAAGAGAGAACTATATTTCTCCTGAGTTTCTCAAGGAACAGGTGGAGGCTGATCCTTTTGATCAGGTACAGATTAGTTAAATGCGTAGTTGATTTCAATTTTATCACATTTAGTTGTAAAAGGTACAGATTAGTTAAATGCGCAGTTGATTTTGATTTTGTCACATTTAGTTGCAAAGCTTCCCCTCATATTTCAAGCCTTTAACTATTTTACAGTTCCGCAAATGGTTCGACGATGTAGTGGCTGCTGGTTTGAGGGAACCAAATGCTATGGCCTTGTCAACTGCTAGCAAGAATGGAAAACCGTAATATCTGTTTCCTTTGTTACTATGTCTCTTTTATTAATACTAAGCTATGTTTCACATATTGTTCTTGCATGTTAGACGACATTTTATTGGTTTCACTATAGTTTTTAAATTTCCTTCTCTGCAATTATCATTTTGGATTTCCATATGATTTTTCTTATTCATATATATGACCTGTTGATTTTCTATTAGTTTACTCAACATAATTTAGATTTTTTTACAGCTCATCTCGCATGGTATTGCTCAAAGGATTTGATAAGAATGGTTTTGTCTGGTTAGTATCTGTCTTTTTATTTCTGTACATACATCAACAATGCCGTGAATGGTGTTTTTCATTAAATGATTGTAATATTCTTAATTCAATGCTATTAATGTATGCAGGTACACCAACTATGAAAGTCGAAAGGCACATGAATTGTCTGAAAATCCTCATGCATCTCTTCTGTTCCACTGGGATGGTCTTAATCGGCAGGTAAAACGTGTTTTCACTTTAAGACTAGTTATTTTAGAATGTTGGGCATATAGTGCTTGCGTGCATGGGTTACACCCACTTATCTGTTTTGGCCTGATGTAGGTCGTACCTCCTTGGTGCCTTTTCAATAAATGCTTTAAATACTGATACTAGAAAAACTGGGTGAGGGAGATCGTTTTTGTTTACATATCCATTCCCTTTGCAAAGTAGAATAATGGTGATTTTCTGGGTAGGAGAAAACCACATTAGTTCACATACACCTGATCTCGAAGCATGTATGCCATATCC